CTATCACTTGATGGAGCAGCTTTTCCAGAGAAGTTCATAATGAGAAGAACTCATCTGAAGAAGGAAGAAGAAGTTCATAATGAGAAGAACTTGTTCAACCTTTTGTCTGAATTCATCATTTGATGGATCAATATTGCCAGAGAAGGTTCATAATGAGAAGAACTCATCTGAAGAAGGAAGAAGAAGTTCATAATGAGAAGAATTTGTTCAACCTTTTGTCCGAATTCATCACATGATGGATTATTTTTGCCAGAGAAGGTTCATAATGAGAAGAACTCATATGAAGAAGGAAGAAGAAGTTCATAATGAGAAGAATTTGTTCAACCTTTTGTTTGAATTCATCATCTGAAGAAGGAAGAAGAAGTTCATAATGAGAAGAATTTGTTCAACCTTTTGTTTGAATTCATCATCTGAAGAAGGAAGAAGAAGTTCATAATGAGAAGAACTTGTTCAACCTTTTGTCTGAATTCATCATTTGATGGATCAATATTGCCAGAGAAGGTTCATAATGAGAAGAACTCATCTGAAGAAGGAAGAAGAAGTTCATAATGAGAAGAATTTGTTCAACCTTTGTCCGAATTCATCACATGATGGATTATTTTTGCCAGAGAAGGTTCATAATGAGAAGAACTCATATGAAGAAGGAAGAAGAAGTTCATAATGAGAAGAATTTGTTCAACCTTTTGTTTGAATTCATCATCTGAATAAGGAAGAAGAAGTTCATAATGAGAAGAATTTGTTCAACCTTTTGTTTGAATTCATCATCTGAAGAATGAAGAAGAAGTTCATAATGAGAAGAATTTGTTCAACCTTTTGTCTGAATTCATCACTTGATGGATTATTTTTGCCAGAGAAAGTTCATAATGAGAAGAACTCATCTGAAGAAGGAAGAAGAAGTTCATAATGAGAAGAATTTGTTCAACCTTTTTGATCAAATCTATTACTTGATGGGTTATTTTTTTTCAGAGAAAGTTCATAATGAGAAGAACTCATCTGAAGAAAGAAGAGAAAGTTCATAATGAGAAGAACTCATCAAAAGCTTATTCAACCTTTTGAATGACTCTATCACAGAAAAAAAGGAGGTCATCATCATCCCCAGCAGAAAGTTCATAATAAGAAGAACTCATCTGGAGAGAGAGAAGAATTTATTCAATATCTCCATTATGATCAAATGAAGCCAAATGGATAAAAAAATTTATTATCTTTTCATCTTTGCCCTATTCTTGTTAACACAAGAATGAGCAAAGAGGGGCAGCTGAAGATACTAATTTTTTACCCATATTATTATTATTATTATTATTATTATTATCATTATTATCATTATTATTATTATTAAATATATATTAAATACATATATAAATAATTAATTACAGGCCCAATTACAACTGGACCGGCCCAGTTACAAACAAACCAGAACCGGTCCAGACCAACCAGAAACCCTAAACATTTGGGGGTTTCAGTTAGGGTTTCCTAACCCTAATCCCAGCCGCCTCATCATCACAGCCGTTGGATCTGAGAGATCCAACGGTCCTCAGATATGCCAGAAGAAACCCTAGGGTATCATTACCCTAGGGCCACGCGGCGGCGCCCCAGTTTCCAATCACCGCTGCCGACACTCTTTCGCCGCCTCCGCCGCTGCCACGTCCCAAATGAAGACTCCAGAAGACCAGCTGCCCTCCACACGCCATGGCTACGGGGTGAGTCACCACTGGTAGTCCGGTGACTCACCGAGACCCCCTCTTTGGACCGGTACGATGGCCACACCGGTGGTGGCTATAAAAGCCACCACCTGAACCTGAAAAAAAAAAGGAGGAAGAAGACAGAGAACACATACCAGAGATACAAAACCAAAAAAAAATATATACAAAATACTACCAACGATCTCAGTCAACATCCCACAACCAGCAACCAAAAACAGAAGAAAAAGATGAGGAGAAAGACTTACCGAGGAAGCCAAACGCCGGATCTCACCAAAACCTTCGAAAAACCGAAGGTATTCTTTTTAGATTTGCTCCGATTGGGAGCCGTTTAACGGAAAAGAGCATCGGAACCGTCATTAGGACGGTCCGATCTACGTTTAGATGTAAAAAAAAAAATTTCCGGCCACCGAAGACGGTGGCCGGCGGCGGTGGTTGACGGCGGACGAACGCCGACTGACGGCTGCCGGCCGGCTGGCTTCTCTCTGTTCTAGAGAGAAGCGAGAGAAAATTCTCTCTCTCAGAGAAGAGAGAGAGAAAGAAAAAAAAATGAAATGAAGCTGGCCCTTTGGGCCAGCCGGTTTTGACCTTATATAGGCCTTCCCGAACGACATCGTTTCGGGAAGGACTATGCGCGTAATTAGACAATAGTTAAACCCCGTCCGCCGTCCTCCTAATTTGTAATTTTTACATTCTAGTCACTAAATCGATTTTATAATACTTTTAATTCGGATCTTTAATTTTAATTTCTTTTATTTTAGTCCTTTATATTAAAATAATATATTTAGGATAAATAACAGATTTAATCCTTTAATTTTAATAAATAATATTTTAATCCTTAGTTTATATTTTTAATTTATTTTATTCTAATATCCGAATTTTAGATTATTTTATTTTAGTCACTAAATTATCAAAAAAAAAAGAAAAAAAGAAAATAGCATGTTCAATCCCTGTAATTCTGATTAATTATGAATTAGGTTTTTCAATTTTAATTTCACTATATTTTAATCATTTATTTTATGTATTTTTTATTGTTTTTAAATATATAGTTAGAATTGTATTTTTTTACTTGTTTATATATTTAAATATTGTATAAATATATAATAAATAAATATTTATTTTAAATAAATTATTTTAATATTTAGTTTTCAATATCAAAGAAAAGGACAGTCTTAAAACAATTGGATGTCCTATTCTGATATTTTAAAATTAAAAAATTAAACAATATTATTTAAATTAATATTTATCAATATCAAAGAAAAGAGCTGTCTTAAGGCACCTAGAAGTTCTTTTATGATATTTTTAAATAAATAAATATTTTTTATATAATTTTGAAATAATAGGATTATAAATTAAATATATTTTTGAATTTTTAAATTTTAATAATAGAGACAATTTATAATTAAAAAGTACCAATTTTGGGCGTTGTAGGGGTGCTAATCCTTCCCTAAACGTAACCGACCACGAACCCCTTTTTATTATTAAAAAGAATGAATTTTTGGTTATAAACGCATATCAGTTCAATTTTTTAATTGATGTTTTCTTAAAACTCTTTTAAAAAATAATTTTTAGGTATTCGACCTACCTGATCCAAAAGGCCGATGGCGACTCCCCAAATTATTTTCAAAACCATTTATTTATATAGATTTTCCCGCCAAAATAAATATTTCGTGCCCGAACGAAAACCGGTTACGACAGTATTATAATACCTGTAGGGTAGTCCAGGGTGGCGCAGCCATGCAATGACTTGTGAAGGATGCTTTTCGGATGTGGAAAAGTTTCTTGACCATGGTTGAACGGTTAGGTAGCTTCCATAGATCATCCACGGATCCTCAATAAGAACTCTCGTATAATCTTCAAGATATTCAAATTTCACTAAAAAGTAATCATTCTCAAGATCGATCAAGTTGAAATTTCCTATCGGATTCCATAACGCATATATTCTGTTAATCAACGCCTTATACCCAATCTTCTTTCCCAATATTTTCGTAATAACAACTTGCTTCATGTTTTGATATATCGGGCCATGGATTCTTTTAGAAAAGCTTATCCTTGGAAATTCTCCGGAGTTGTCCATTATGATATCTCCATCTTGAAATACTATTTCTTCTTGAGGCATCTTGACGGGAGGGTTTTTGCTGTAGTTTGAAACGCTAGCCACTATAGCAGCATAAGAAATTCTTTCTGGATCTTTTGGATAATTTTTGTTTGTTTCTTGAGATTCTTATTCTGTTTGCATATTATCTGTTTGCGACTTAGCTTCATTCTCCTCTATTGTTGTTTATCTATTTACTTTCTTTGTTGCTCTTTGTTCTTCTTGGGTGTATTCGCTATTCATTCTTGGAGAGTTTTTCACTCTGTTGAAACTAGCTTATTTAATTCAAGTATTGACCGAGTCTATAGCGAAGTTGGCGTGCTCAACTATGTTGGTGACAATAGCTGTCCGTGAGCTTGAACTAAAGAACCTCAGAACCTGAAAAATCAACCTTTGCGCCAGATTGTTGGAGGACGATGAATTTGACACGACTGGTGGTCGTGACGGTTGTATCGACGATGAGAGAGTTGATGTAGGCGGAGACTTTTACGTCGCTGGGTGGCTTGATGGTGAGGACTGTGTTGGAGAGATTGGAATTGAGATTCAGTAAATTTAGCCAATTGAACTTGCGGATACCAAATGACCCATTGCAGGTTGAGATATGGATGCTCATCCAAGTGGATTTAATAAAAATTTAGCCATTCGACCAAAGCATCTCTATTTATATAAAAAAAAGTAAAGTTAAATTTGAGGAAAAAATAATAATATTTATTTTAAATTTTTGAATAGTTTAACTTTTATTTTTGATATTATTATATTTAAGTTTTAGAATATTTTTATATTTTAAATTTGAAATATATATTTTTTAAAATTAAGCCCTTAAACTTTAAAAAATTAAGTTGATCTTCGAACTTGAAAAAAATCAATTTAATCCATCTGCCACATCATCATTCACGTCACCATCCACTGTGGATTGTTATGTTAACATTATAGATCACCACATCAGCATCGTGAAGTACCATGTATGCATCGTACGATCAACAACAAAAACAATTGGTCAAAGTGTTGTTTTCTTGTTTTCTTTTTATAAGTTTGACGTTCACATTGAGTAAAATAAAATATTAATGACTACATTGATTTTTTGAAAAAGTATAGAGGTCTCATATGCTCTTTTTGCTAATTAAGTTTCATAATGAGTGGATGACACAATTACTCTAAATCTCTAAAAAAAAATAACATTCTATTTTATTATTAAAATAACTCATCAGTTTCGAATAACAATAAATCTAAACTATAAATATCTTAAATTTAAAAATAACACAGAAAAAGCAATAGCAATTTTTAATATTATTTTTAGGACATGTTGTCCATAACATCATCGATAAAACGATATAACGTGGAGTGTGAAGATCCACCGTCTGTTAAGGCCTTTCTACTCTTATCACATATCTCTTTCATCCTCTTCCGAGCGTCACTACCCGGCTCCATCAATCTTCTTATTCCTTTCTCTATCTTCTCGGCTTTCACAATTTCAACCTCATCGCCATAGCTATTGTAATCCATTTTAATCTCTACCGCCAATCCTAACTCCTTCACCAGCAAGAACGCATTCATACGTTGCTCTGCGTAAAGTGGCCATGCGGCCATCGGCACTCCGAACCATATACTCTCCAACGTCGAATTCCACCCACAATGCGAAACGAACCCTCCGATCGCCGGATGGCCCAAGATAGCCACTTGTGGTGCCCAACCGATGACCATACTAATCCCAGCCATCCGATCTAAGAACCCTTCCGGCAACACCTCTTCCACGTTCTCGTAATCAGTCGGGCTTACCTTCTTGCCTTTTACTTGCTCCCCCGGTCGCCGTAGAGACCACAAGAACCGGTGTCCACTTTGCTCTAGAGCGTTGGCGATCTCTTTAACTTGATCCACACCAAAACTTCCGTGGCTCCCGAAACAGAGGAACACGACCGATGAACGAGGTTGTTCGTCGAGCCATCGCATGATTGTATCATAATTATCATGGACCTGACTTGAGCCCGTAAGATCCAATATCGGTCCCACTGGGTAAACAGGTGGAATTTGAAGCTTATCATTAGAAAGGGAGTCAACCGCATGAGATTCCAGCTCCGAAAACGTATTTACCATTATGCCCTTTGTCTTTCTTAGCCCTCTCGCTATGTTGAGGAGGAAGGTAATTCTTGTAGGACTGAACATTTCATCAATAAAATATTTAGTAGAAACCGGGTTGACATATGATGGAATGGCGAACTCGGTGTCCGAGTCTTTTAAATCGACGAAGTTAACGTTTTGCTCATCGTAAAGAACTTGAGTGTGGAACTGGAAGCCAAGAGAAGCAGCACCCGAGGTGAAAAATGCATAGCTAGGAACGCCGAACTCGTTAGCCAAGTCTACAAAAGCAGTCAAGAACATGTCAATAACGAAACCGGCGAGTCGAGGTGAGTCGGGAACTGATTTGGAGAGCTCAACTATGTTGGTGACGGCCTCTTTCACAAGTGGAAACTGGGTTTGAACTAAACTACTTATAAACTTTAACATGTCGGCGTCTGGGTCAGGTTGAGGGAGGTTGATGAATTTGATGCGGCTGGTGGTGGTGGCTGCGGCTGTGAGAGAGTCGACGTAGGCAGAGACTTGAGCGTTGTAGGGTGGCTTGATGTTGAGGACGGTAACGGAGAGGTTGGAATTAAGATCCACTAAAAGCTTAGCCACTTGAACTGTGGATACCAAATGGCCCATTACAGGCATCGGAATGAATACTAGCTCCGCTTTCTTCGTCATCGGAACGGAAAAAAGTAAGTTTGCCGAACGGTGCAACGGGAAAGGTAAAGATAGATCGCCGGCAGCGTTGGGAAATTTTGTTTTGGGTTTGGCCAATCTTGTTTATTCGAGGTTATTAATAAAGCTGGGTTTCAGTAAATGGAGTAACATATGATGTCATTGCATTGCTGGGGTTATGGATAGCATCTGGATCACTCGTTGATTACTTTATTGGTCATTGGATTCGTTTGGTTGGTTTTAATTGTATATTAAATAGTTTTGTATAAATGCATTGGTAAACTATATTATTGGTCACCGAACTATTAAATCTCTCTTATTCTACTCACCAAATTATTTTATGACAAATTTAGTCACTAATGTTACGTTTTTTTTCCTATTCTTGTTATGGTCTGGTCTAACAGTTAAATGTCGGCGTTAACTCAATTATTAATAGAGTTTAATTCTTAAATCTATTCATATTTTTTTAGTTTTATTAATAGGATGGTGGTATCTTTTGTAGGAGGATTAAATTTATTGAATTATTTTAAATTAGATCAAAATTGATATAATGTATATATTTTAGTACTAAAATTATTATTATACTAGGTTACGTCACTTTTTTTAAAAATTAATTATCAATGATCAAAATAAAAAATATAACATTAATGACTAAAGTTGTATAAAGATAGTGGCTAAAATCGAAAAATGACAATAGTTGGATGACCGATGATATAGCTAATCATAAAATTATTTGGTAGAAAATTCAAAACATTATTTTTTTTTTGTAAAAATATTATTTTATTAATCTATAGTACATTGATATTTGTTTTAATGACTCTAAATCATTTAATAACGAGCTCTCAAATATCTGTAATTTATGGTGCTTAAATTTGAAACTTATAAAAATAATAATTATTCATTTAACAATTTAAATAGTGTAGTTGGTATTTATGTAAAATTATTTTAATTTAGTTAATTCATGTGTGATTAATATCAATTTAATTAATTAATTAATAAAGCTTCTTGATGGGGTTGCTATTTGGAAACTTTATCCGTGTACTTTGTCGCTTAGAAACGAGATAAGCTGGACTTCACATATTTAGCAGAGCAACACACTTCATAAAAGAACCGAATATTTTATTGAAAGAATTAAGATTCTATTATGGGTGTATCATAAGTTTACCTTTATAAAAGTATTTTGAATTTACATTGGTATTTCAAAATTAATTTTAATTTTAATATTTTTGGAAAAAGATAGGCAATAGCAGAGATGGCAAAACAGAGAGGAAGAAGACAAAAACCAAAAAGAAGAAACTAGTGGGGTTCCAATCTCTCTTTTTCCTTGTCTTGGTGTAATAATGTCGAGTTTTGTTCACCGGCTAAAAGTTGATAAAAAAGAAACTTTCCCGCTGGCATGCGAAATTAAAAAATTATTAAACGAATATTTTTCAAAAACATAAATATTTTTAGTTAAGGGAGGTTGAGTAAAAAATATTTTATTTATTTTCCAAAAATATAATTATTATAATATTATCATGTTACTCTAATTAACATTAAATAATAATAATTGACAGGTACAGAGCTTCTACTGGTCTTTGCCTAATACCGCTACTGATCATGTGCAAAATGGGACTGGGGCCTATAAGACAGAAATGTCAAGAAATTTAGCCAACTATCGATACCTACTAGCCTTTTCTATTATCACAAGACAATGTAATATTTATTATTTTTATATTTTATAATTGGATTTATATCTCTATATCTAATTCTATACCTTATTTTTTATTAGTTTAAATTTTTGTTTTTAGGAGGAGTTAGTATTTTAAAAGATAAATTTATATTTACATATTTATAATCATTTAAATTAGATATATAATTTATATTTTAAAATCTTTTAATATTATCTATAAATATATTATTGTAAAATTTAATAATTTTAAAAGAATAAATTAATTTTTAAATATTTTAAATATTTTTATTAGTATGAGATAAATATAAGATAATATATATTCAAAGATTCTCAATTATTTAATAATGAACACTTATACATTCTTACATATATAGTGTTTGAACCTAAGACCTCAAAAAATGTTAATAATCCCTTAACCATCAAAATCACTTAATTGGCAAAAAAAATCATCATAAATCCATGTATTATAAAAAAATCAGTTTAACTCTCGTATTATTTTTTCTCTCAATGTGACCCTCCAATTCATAAAACAAATCCAAAGTGGCCCTTTGGCCAACGTTTTTCCTCGTAGATCGTTACAGTACTAGTATACCGGTTCATGGTGTTGACGTGACGATCCACGATGTTGACATGACAATCCATTTGCCATGTTTGAGATACAAATTTAGTCAATCTGTCATGTCATATGCAACGTTAATATGTTGCATTGGATATTATGACAACACTGTGAATTCCATGTCAGTACCGTGAATGTTAAACACTCATGTAAACAACTCATAGAATAGGTATTGAAACCTCATCAAAGTTGCTTATTCATTAAAGAGCTATGACAATATATATATAAGTAATAAGGCTCTAACAATTGCATAAACATTCTAACTACATGCTTATCAGCATAACCACTCCAACAGTCTCCTAACAGACTCCTAACAGCCTCACAGAGCATGTAGTTAGAATGTTTATGCAATTGTTAGAGCCTTATTACTTGTATATATATTGTCATAGCTATTTAATAAATAAACAAGTTTGATGAGGTTTGAATATCTATTCTATGAGTTGTTTACATGAGTGTTTAACATGGTATCAGATGTTGGTGATCCGGTGACGTGGTAAGAGTTCGTTCTTTCTTTTTTGGTGTCCGATCGTATGGCGGCTCCAGTTTCTCCTTTTTTTGTGCTACTGTGAGTGGTTTTGATTGTTTGGGAGCTGCTCAGAAGGTGTTCGCCAATAAACGATTGAGTGTTGTTTTAGATGATCACAACTTTTTGTTATGAAAATAACATGTGTTATTAGCAGTTCGTAATCATCGTCTTGAGAAGCTTCTCTATGGTTCAGTTGCTCCTCCGCCTGCGACAGTTACGCTTGATGATGACACTGTTGCTAAAAATAAAGATTATGAGCTTTTTGTGGTTCAAGATAATGCATTAGCCTCTTGGCTTTTGTCTATAATTGCTCTTTTGTTGCCACATCTGATGGGAGCTAAAACAACTTTTTAGGTATGGACGATGATCAATAAGATCTTTGCATGTAAGTCAACAACGGTAGTGATGAACTTGTATTATCAACTCAAAGTGGTTCATCAAGGTGATCTAGGGAGGCGAGTGTACATCTCTCAAGTCAAAGAAATATGTGATGCTTTAGCATCACGTGGAAGCCCAATTTCTGATCTTGAACACATTGCTACGATCTTGAATGGTTTATCGGTGGAGTCTAGGTTTGTAGTCAATGTGTTGTCTGCTAGTCATGATGCTTTGACATTGGAAGAAGTAGTGTCTATTTTTACTGATGTTGAGACTCAGCAAATTGTTTTTAATTGTTTTGATAATTTGATGGTTACTGCTAATGTGGCGCAGGTTAAAAGCTCTGTGGATAGTCGATCTGGTCATTTTTTCAACAGGATCTATCCAAATTAGAGAAGCCTATAACTTATAATTAAGCTAGTTGTGGTCGAGGGCGTGTTAAAGTTCAATGTCAATTGTGTGGCAAGAATGGTTATATTGTCAATCGTTGTTGATATCGATTTGATAAATCTTTTTCAAGTGTAGATGAGTCTGATGCGAGGAGTTCACTGAAGGAACAATCACCTACAACCAATGTGTGTCATTATAGTTCGGCTTCATGTGTGTGTGGAATTAAGCCTGGCGTACATGGATATGGTGTGGACGATCAAGAACGCCTCAGGCCACTTACAAATGTGGCCTCTGCAAATACTACTTTTATGTCGTGGTTTGTTGATTCAGGGGCTACTCGTCACATTACATCCGATGCAATAGAAGTTATGTAACACCCCCAACCTATATCCGACCCGGATCCGAGTTCGAGGTGTCACATTGACTTTTCAAAACGTTTTTCCTTTACAAATTGGTTAAAATTTAACTGAACAATTCGAGAAAATGAATAATTTTTATTAATTAAAACATTTGGTTTTACAAAACCTATTAAAGCAATGCCAATACAATTCTCTTAGTACTTGCCAACTATAATTAATATAACAATATACATAAATTTCAAAATACTTTTCTGATCTTAACTTCGTAAAGGAGAGGCTGACATGTCTTGCTCCTCTTAGCTTCTTTTCTTGCTTCCCAGAACCTATGTGTGAAACACTCATACGCTAAGTCGATGACTTAGTGAGGCATAATATATCTTATAATGAAAATCTAACTAATGAACAATGCATGAAAATTTCATATCAATGATATCACATAAACTATTATCACATCAACAAAAGTCAATTATATATCTCTACATATCTTGTCAATATCTCTATTAACCTCATTTTCTTATCTTTATTATATTCATTCATATTTCTTAATAATATATTCTTGTACTTAACATTCTTAACTTCCATATGATTCATTCACACAATACACACAACTTCATATGATTCACATAATACCTTTCATATCATAACAACATATACATTATATATTGCATATATCATTTCTCAAGGAAATACATAACATCATACTACGTTTTATTTATAAGTTCTCTTTGTTAGCCCATGTACACATGTGAGAACTAAAGATATGTGAGTACATAGAGGTTGTGAACATATGCTGTCACCACAGCTCGTATAATTCCTACTAGGGGCACTTAGAATTTGTCCCGAATGACCACTTTGTCCCAAAGGACCACTATATCCCGAAGGACGATTATCCATATGTCTCGAAAGACATAGGAAACCCTCAACTCTTGGCATGCCAACTATACCTCTAGCTCTCATTTCACATAGCATTGACATTCTCTTTCATATCATTTCCCATATTCATATAGATATATGATTCACTTTCACGTATCACATATACTTTCTCTTTCATATATCTCATGTCATGTCTCATATCTTGTGATCATGTAAGCATATTACTTATTTTCATATAACTTATATCATTTCATTCATAATCACATAATTCAATTATATCATACCAACATGAAT